TCGCTGTTTCTGTTTGTGTTGCCTCCTGTCGCTCTGCCAGGAGACGACAGCACGATCCCAGCGTGGCTCGGTCATGGGGGGGCGGAGTCTGTGTGCACTAAAAACAAACCCGGAGGAAGTGTGACCTCTTTAAACGCGAGCTTTTTTGTGTCCTAACCGGTGTGACAGAACTTCACACCAGTGAGAAACGGCGTCTGTGTCAGCTGACAGCACCTCTGAACTGACGTTTCATTTTTATTTTGCTCTGCAGTAAAACTGGTGATGATGTCATTATCATTAGATTTACAACAGATTTACCGCGTCACGCTGAGATCAGCGACGCACACGAGAAAGGCTTTGCTTAAATTGCCCATCATCCTCTCTGCCGTGAGAGACGCCATCCAGCTGCGCGTTCCTCTCTCACACAGGTCGTTCTCGTCCAGGGCCTTCGACGTGTCACACTGTAATAATTCCCCCATCCTGTAGTTGCAGACAGACCTGGTTCCTTTTGACAGAAGCTTTTGCGTTTTTGGAAATAATCTCCGGAAATTTTAAACTGATTTATTTGGCACTTGTATAAAACTGCCATAACGTATGATTGCTCTAAATGAGCACGTCCTTTCTCATGAGGTAAGTCATCCACTCCCATCACAGGAAGCAAAACCCGTTCTGTGGAAACCAGTGGAGCTCTACTGGAGGTGGACTGGTTGGACTGCTGGTTCTTGGGTTTAATCAATAACCTTGCAGCAGAGTCCTGGGAAAGGGGAACGTGGGGGTGAGGCTGAGCAGGTGGGGTGCAGGTGGGGTGCAGGTGGTGACGGTGCACTGTGTTCTTGGCAGTGATGATATCTGGTTGGCACCATTAATGTGAATCCCGGGAACGTTACCTGTTGACCTTTATTCCCGGGAGTTAACAAGACGACTTCAGAAGTTTTTTTCAGAAAAATTCAGAGGTAACCCCCCACGCCAACCCGTCCCCCACCGCCTCTGACTCTCTGCTGCCTTTCTGGAAAGCATCCAGTAGCCCCCCTCCCTTGTTCCTAGAAAAGCACCAGTTCATGTCAGAGAGAGAGAGCAGGGCGAGCGAGAGGGAGCGACCTCTGGGGCGATCAAGTTTGACTTTCCCACAGAGAGAGCTAGAAAGTCTGGTCCCATTGTTTCCTTTATGTCCCAGTGCTCTGTGTGTGTGTGTGTGTGTGTGTGTGTGTGTGTGTGTGTGTGTGTGTCTGTGTGTGTGTGTGTGTGAGGGTCACTGAGTCTCCGGATCTTGTCCATGGTGGTCAGGTGTCCGAGGCTCCACTAGCGTTCAAGTGGGTCTCCTAACCCAGGATACGCGTTACTTGAGAAGCTTTTCAGAGTAAAAGCATAGGTATTTTCTGATTCTTCTGATTTCATTTGATTTAATATTTAAAGTCTTTGATGGTGACAGATGGAAAAAAGTTTTCAGAGGTGAGTGTGTGTTTCAGGATTTCTTTCTAAAGAAACAAAAAGGACTGTAAACAGGAAAATAAGAAGGATCAGGAAGTTCATTAAACTTCCTGATCCTTCTTTATTTAAGGAAAAAGCTTTTTAAATTCAAAGTATAGATGGAAACATTTTTTCTTTTATAATATATGACTTAATTACAAGTCTGTGATGATGGGGAGTTAGATGATCCACGCCCCTCAGTGGGGGGGTGGATGCAGACAGTCCGGTCTGCTCCCACGCCTCATTAGCATATTTAATTAACCTGCTGACGGCTGAATGAGGGGAGCGGGGGACGATGGGGTAGGGGGGCAGTGTGTGAAAGTGCCCTCCAACACACACCCATCAGCAGCACCCCTAACCCCCCACCCCATAGTTGCCGTGGTTTCCGCCTGATGCTCTTTGTCTTAAGCTGCTGAAGCAAACAGACGCGGTGAACAGCATGCAAAACAAGCCTGATAAGGCGTATGTGGGGGCTGTGTGTGTGTGTGTGTGTGTGTGTGTGTGTGTGTGTGTGTGTGTGTGTTGTGCTTGTTGACAGAGGAAGGGGGCCGGGGGGGGGTTTCTTCAAATGCAAAAAGTTCATGTCTCTTAAATGTAACTGAACTGCACAACCTCGCGGCGAAAATGTGCAGGCGCAGCGTCCATAACGTGTGGTCTGCAATAAGAACTCCACAGAAAGATTCAAACCTGGACCAAAGTGATTTACACTAACGAGAAGCCCTTCAATCCACGCAGGACGACCCGACACACTCAGCGAACCATCACTTCAGAGGCAACCTGCTTTCCTTCACTCAAAAAGTGCTCCTGTCACCTCCTCTCACATTAAAGAAAACATATTCACGCCTCAGAACCAGCAGGAGATAATCACTTGACTATCTCTCCACACCGTTCAGCTAGCGTGTGAGTCGTTAAAGCGAAGCCCGCTCTTCCTCTCGATCCTGATTTTCCTCTTGGATCACACATCTGGGCCCGCGTGGCAGCGGCTTCAGCCGGGCCTCCGTCACGTTCGCCGTGCGTCACTTTCCTTCATGTTTGCCTTAATTAAAAGTTTTGCTTTCCTGGACGTTCCAACTTCTCTCCGTCTGCTCCTGAGTCATGGCCCCGCCAGCAGGCTCGGGGGGATGATGGGTAATATTTCTTCCACTCCCTGCCTACTTTATCTGCAGCGTGGCCGATCGATGCCCCCGAAGCCGCTAAATCATTTGAAAGAGCGGAGCTGCATCGGAGCAGAGAGCATGCTGGAAGAGGAGGCAGACGCAGAGAGGCCGGTCGCACGAGCTGCACACAGGAAGAACGTTTGCCATGATACTCGGAGCTGACCTACTGCTGCTCACACGTCCACAACAAAAAATGTCAGATCTCACATAGAAGAGAGAAAACTCTAAAAACACAGATGACCAGTTTCGTTTAATAAAACAAAGAAATGTGTAAATAAGTTACAGACGCCTGCAGCTCAGTTTGATCTGATGCAGTTTTAATGAAGCATTTTTAAGAATGTGAAGCAACAGCTGATAACACATTAACGCTCAAACCATCCGTGTTGTGTTGAAGAGATATTCTCAGGTCAAAATAGGACTGGGCTGTACTGCCATGTAATACCGCTACGTGCCACAAGGAGGTTCAGTGAGTCGGTGTAGCCTTTATTTAAGCGATTAATAAAACGATCGGGGAAAAAAGACAAAAAGTTTGAAGAGCAAAGCATTTTAGCACACCTGCTGGTTAAACACTGCCCCCTGTTGGTGAAGGTTTGAGTTCATATTTGCAGTGGGTAATTATTCATTCATTCATTCATTCATTTATTTGTTTATTTTCAGGCACAACAAATACCTATATTGAACATAAAAGGCACAAAACAAAAAACAAAAATTGCCTGAAAAAGGAGTGGGACGAAGAAAACTTATTAAATCCCACCCCTATACTCACTCATCAACAAAAAAAACAATAACATTATAAAAGTACCTTTATTATTATTATTATTATTATTATTATTGTTGTTGTTGTTGTTGTTGTGAGATGTAAGACATTCCTGACTTCTTGAGACCTGAAAACTGGCAAAACCTCTGCTTTCACAGAGGCACTCACACTGCTGATGATCGGTTAAGCACGTGACTGATGAGCAGCACCTGGCTGCTGCTGATCCCGCTGTTCCTGTGGAAGCAGTGAGGCTGGATGTTGTTTTTCAGAGCACTGCAGAGAATCCTTTGACATAAGAAAATGACCCGTTTCCTCTTTTTTAACCACCTTGCTGTAGTAGTTCCAAGAATTCCCACCTTCCAGCAGCTGCCTGGATTGGGACTGAGCGGGACTCTATTAGGTACAGATGCCTTCAGCTGATGGCGGGATAATCGATGACTTTTTATGTAGTTGTACATTGTAATCGTGTAAACATGCGGTTGTTGAAAACGCTCGGGGTGCACCATGTGAGATTCTGTCACGCACCGGGTATTTCTGCCGTTTTAACTTCAGGTTTAGCTATCAAACATTATTCAAAATGCTTTTTAAAGACTAAGTATGAAGAGGATTTATCCATTCATGCGTCGGTGGTCGCAGCTGCTTGGCTTATTTATGATATTTGACACGAGCTCCTCCTCAGACATTTCACTCCTCCATCCTTCCATCCGTCCGCTCACTCTGAACTTCAGCATAGGCTCCGAGTTCTTCCTGTGTCACTGAGCGTGTGCAGAAAGTGTGACTGAATCAGCTGCAGCAGCTGGAGTCTGCCAGTCAGTCTGCTGTGTGTGTGTGTGTGAGATACCAGGTGAAGGTTTTGTGGTGTGGAGATCAATACAGGCATCCCCTCTATACACACACACACACACACACACACAACACACACACACACACACACACACACACACACACACACACACACACACACACACACACACACGTATTAACAGCAATGACACACATGCTGACCCATTAACAGAGTGCTTTTGAATGCACACTGGAGCAGCTGGGAATCAAACCACCAAAGTTGTGATTTGCAGATGACCTGCTGAGTCCACATTTTGGTGAATAGCCTTCACTGGTGCTCGTTTCTGTTCTTGGATGATCTGGGATTTGTAGAACAAGAGAAACTGCAGCAACACCTTAACTGATTATTTATTTGAAAGAGTAACTAAAAAAGTGATTACTTTACCTGCAGAGACAAACCTGATCTGCAAATGGTAATGCTTTATTTTACCAAACGCTAAGGGCAGCGGCCACGACGTAAAGACAAAATTTAGCCAACAGCAGCTTGACGGTGATGTCAGCTCTGTGTGGGACTTTCTGACGCTTTAAGAATTTATTCTGAAAGCGTCGCACTTCCTGATTGATGAATATTTTTTATTTCGAAAATGTATTTACAGCATTTATGAAGGATGAAACACATTTCATGATAACATTAAAGATAACTTTTTTTTTTTAAACTCCCACCTATCAGTGAAGTAACCGCTGGATCAGAACAGACAACTGAGTGTGTGTGTGTGTGTGTGTGTGTGTGTGTGTGTGATTGGGTTATTAAGTTGGTGTTGTTCGGCTCGTCCTCATCTTTGTGTTTCTCTCCACAGAATCCGGCCAATCAGAAAGCCCGAATCAGGCCAGCGAATCAGACATCAAGGAGCAGCCGGAGAACGGTGAGACACACACACACACACACACACTGAGGCCAACCTGTGTGTGAGCCTGTGTGGTTAAACGAAATGAGGCATGGCAATATGCACACACACACACACACACACACACACACACATTCCTGAGGAGAAGTTGTTTGTCTGGATCAGGGAAGTGCGTATGGAAGATTTTTAAGTGTGTGTTGATGGATGTCATAGCTGTGTGTGTGTGTGTGTGTGTGTGTGTGTGTGTGTGTGTGTGTGTGTGTGTGTTGTGGTGTGTGTGTGTTGTGTGTGTGTGTGTGTGTGTGTGTGTGTGTGGGAACCTCTCCTTTGTGTGTGTGTGTGTGCTAGACCTTGACCCTGGTGTTCAGCTACGTGCGTGCAGACACACACAGCTGGTCCTGATTATTCCTGTTGGGAAACAGAAGCCTGTACTTCCTCACTCATACTGATCCTTCCCTGGTACTACTGGTATAGTACTACCTGTAATCCTGCTGCTGGTGTAGATTTCGGGGGCTTGTCAGTGGTTGGCTGTGCCGATATGTGTTGGTGATACAGTAGTAATATAGTAATAACCCCCTCCCTCCCTCTGCTCACAGGTCACCTGGGCTTCCAGGACAGCTTCGTGACACCTGGAGTTTTCACGGTGGCCGAGCTCGTCCGAGTGTCTCAGAGTAAGTTCTGCCTCTCTCTCTCTCTCTCCTCCTGCAGTGAGGCTGAATGAGGCCAAGCACTGATTGGATCGCAGATCTGTCATCGATAGTGCATCTAATGTAATTCCTCCAGACCAAACCACAGGCTGCCTATCTTAATGAACACAGTGTGTGTGTGTGTGTGTGAGTGTGTGTGTGTGTTGTGTGTGTGTGTGTGTGTGTGTGTGTGTGTGGGGTGCGGTGCTGAGGTGTTTGAGTGGTCTTCCTGCTGATGAACATAAGAACATGTTTAGGAGAGTGTGAATTGTGAGTTCAGCTTGCAGCACGAGGCTGAGCACCTGTGCATCAGAGAGCCAGGTGTTCACCGTATTCTATAACAAGAATAGTAATAACAATAGTAATAACTGTTACTTAGTAACACCTTATAAGTAAATGATTACCAAAATCACTGTATGCATAATAACATCATAGATTAAAATGTGAACAACACAGACTCAAACATTAT